GGCTGAGGGCGGGCGGGCCCTGGGGCGCCGGGGCCGCCGCCTCCTCCCGGCTGCAGCGAGGGCCGCGGAGCTGTGCCAGGTGGGGGCGGGGGGCGCAGCAGGCTCAAGCCTGGGCCCAGCCAGGGGCGGGGCTGCTGGGGCCGAGAAGGAGGGAGGGGAGGAGAAGGGGCCTGGTCGGCATAGCGGGAATCAGAAGCAGATTCAGACACTGGCTGGGCCATCGGGGGAGGGGCCGGGGAGCCAGGAATTCGCTGTCGGGAGGGGTCTGGAGGGGAAAACTCAGCCACGCAGCCCGTGGGGGACCACCCAGCAGGGTCGTTGGTCCGCAGCCAGGTTTTGACTGCTCCTGGGGCTGTGTCACATGCTGGGCGGGGGTCTGGCAGGCTCCTCCCTCAGGCCCAACAGGCAGGCTGGGCCCTGGGTCTGAAGTCTGGGTCCGGGTGCTCCCTGATGTCCATGCAGGACATAGGGCATGAGAAGCCAAGTCGTATTGGTGAGTGTGGGGGGTCCCCAAGGCAGCAGTTTGCTCTAGTAGACAGAACCCAGAATTGGGACCAGGTCTTATTTTGAACCAAAGCTGCTCTAATTTCCAGCTGTGTGGTTCAGATTCCTTAACCTGGTTGGTCCTGCCTCAGTTTCCTCTTTGGCCACATGCCTGTTATTTAACATTGCACAGCTGGGTGGGGATGGGGAATTTGATGAGACCAACGCTCAACAGATTTGAGTCCCTCCTGCCTTATGCTCAGGACTGTATCCCTGATCCCTGGGACTGGCCTGAGCTTATCCAAGGGATGAGGCTAGCATCCTCCACCCAGATCAGTCCAAACTCTTGTCCCTGGTTCTCTTGAGTGTCTACTTGCCACACCATGATGGGCCCAGTCCTTGGAGCTGGTAGGGAGGAAGTGAAACCTGTGTGTGTGTGGGGGGGGGAGTGGGGGGAGGTACAGCCAACTAGGTGGCAGGTCTCCTTGGGGTTCAGGGGCTTGGTCACCTATGGAGAGGTAGGGAGTGAGGTTTGATCCATGGGGAGCACCTGGTCACAGATGGCAGTACCCATGAGACTGACCTATATACCAGCAGATTTAGGCAGGGAAACTGAGGCAGAAGCCCAGCTGGGTAGCCTGGACACCAGCTAGGGATGGGGCAGCTGCAGCTGAGAGTAGCCCCAACCAAGAGGGGCCCGGAATTGCTCTGAACAGAGAGACCCCTTCCCAGCCACCTCGAGGTCCTTATTGGAGAGGGGGGCCAGGCATCCCAGGAGGGGCTGACCCCATGGGGAAAGGGAAGGCCACACAGGAGTGCATCCTGTTCGGGACAGCTCTGAGGCCTGACGTTTCAGACGGGAGGCTGAGTCCAGGCCAGCCCGACAGCCAGTGTAGGATGCCCCGGGAGTGTGTCTGTGTTGGTGAAACTGCCATCCTATGCTGTGCCTGAGATGCTGCAAGGACCCACAGGAAGAGGATGGAGAGGAGCAGAATCCTTGTGCTGTTTAGAAGAGGGCAGGACACTGGAGCCTCCCAGGGGAAACTGGAGAAGAGGTGAGAGCAGGAGGGCTTGAAGAAGACAGGTCCTTTTCCAGGCCTGACTCGCACAAACAGGGAGTATATGTGCAGGGCCTAATGAGGTGATGGGAGACTTTGGAAGGACTCACCCAGAAGAGTCCCAGGGGCTGCTGGTCTCTCCCTTCACTTCTGACAGCAGCAGGAAGGCTATGGGTACCTCCTGCCTCACAGAGCAGGTGCTACGGGACCCTGCCCCTCAACTTCCCAATAAAGAGAGTGTGCCCCTTTCAACAAAGAGCTCTGCACGAATGAGGGAGTTGACAGGGTGCGTGCACATTCTGCTCTGGTTCAGAAACAGCACCTTCCCAACCACCCTCTTCAAGGCCCTCTGGCTGCTCCCTGGGATGGGAAGAGCTTGGTGAGAGACTGGGTGCTTCAATAGATCCTCTGGGGACCGTTAGAAGAAAGGTGATGCAATGGCCACGGTGGGGAGAAATGCCCAGGGCCCACACAGGAGTTCCACGGGGCTTGAAACAAGCCTCCAGGGAGAACCTGGAGGTCTGCATTCAGGACTCATGCCAGGAGGGAGGAAGCAGAGATCAGGGGAATAGCCTCTCCCTTAGTTGTCAGCCTCGGAGGCTTTGTCTTCAGCCCAGCCTCCTCGATGGGGTCTGCAGAGCATCTGGGGGCTTCTGATATGGGTGGAAGGAGGTCCCTGGGCTCAGACTGCTGTATATTCATGGGGTTCGGCCCTGGACCTGTTGCACCACCAGCTCCCCAGGGAGGAGGCTGCAGTCAGCTGAGCCTCTTCCCTAGAATGGCCGCCTGCACACATTCTTTTCTGCTCCCCCCCAAGGGGCAGCCCTGGTAGATGGTGTGATGGTAATTAGGGGGCCTTCCCCCCAGCCCCCAGTCCAGGCTCATTGCTCCTCGTGGACTCTGCCACTTGTCCCCAGTCCCTGATTGGGGCTTCTCACACCTATCTCCTCAATGGCCCTGTCCCCTTCTGGCACCTAGAAGAGGCTCTGCTCCCCCTCCCCAGCCAGAGTGACAGCTGCTGGTTTGGGGGGATGCAGGGAACCTATCTGGGGAAGGGACAGAGTGGGCCTGGCAGTCTGAGGCCTCAGGGGGCTGGTCTTTCCTTTAAAAGGAAGACTGGTCCTACTCGGTTTTGCTCAGTGGGTAGTGTTGGCCTGCCGACTTGATTCCTGGGTTTGATTATGGTCAAGGGCACATCCATCTACCTCAGTTGTAGGCTCAATCCCCAGCCTCTGTTGGGGTATGTGCAGGAGGCAACCAATCGATCACATCAATGTTACCCTCTCTGCGTCTCTACCCCTCCCTTCCATTCTCTCTCTAAAAAACAAAAACAAACAAAATAAACAATGGCTGGATGAGGATTAACACAAGACCCCCCGCCCCCAAAACAAAACAAAACCAAAAAAACCACACACACACACACACACACACACACAACCAAAATAAAAGGTCAACTGACCCCCATCCTAGCCCAGGACTTGCTATTTCCACTTTCAAGCCACCTCTTGTTCACGTATCACACAAACATGTATTTATTAAGCACCTGTTATGCCTCGAGGAGCGAGGAGCTTCCAACCCAAGGGGGAAAACAGACAGCTGGGAACAGGAGCACAGCATGCTGTTCATTGCCCTGAAAAGGGCAGCCACGCAGAGTCCACAGCCACTGCTGTCCTGCACCACGCACACCCGCCAGGCAGGGTCCCAGTGCCGCGCTCACCTGCTCTGTGCTCAAGCCAGGCTCACTCTGTTGTGATCAGCTCTGAGAGCCCAGCAAAACACTGCATTGCGGAGGGTGGGGCGAGATGGGGAGAGCCCATGGGGGATGGGAAGAAAAATGGCTCAGTAACCCCCTTAGTCTGGCCACGTGAGGTTTGAGAAAGGAATGGTTTGGGGAGGGGGCTTCTGGAACCCACATGTGGCACATCTACCCGGCCTGGGCGAGGTCTGGAGGGGGCTCCTGGCTCATCCAGACCTCTCTGGGGACCAAGCCGCTTGCGTGGGCTCAGGGCGTTCCCAGCTCCGGCCCCTCAGCTGCTGTCAACTGAGCATGCCAGCATAGGAAGGCTGCAGCCAGGAGCCCAAGCCCTGCTGCCCGCACCTAATGTAGCCAGCAATTCACCCTCGGCCAGATCCAGACAGGATTCAGCAGGCTCCTTGGGCTGGGAGGCCGGTGCATTCACCTGCCCACACTCAGGTGGATGTGAGCACCAGCGCAGCTCCCCCTTCCAGCTGGCAAGTCCGAGCAGACTGGCCGGGAATGCAGGTGAGAATTCCCTACTGCCTCCTGACTTGGTGGGGCAGGCGCTAGAGGACAGGTCTCCTTCCCTCCTACCTCCTCCACTCCGGGTGCCTGTGTTGGGGCCTACCCAGGCTTCCCCCCTCATACAATCCGTGGCACCTCCCTGCCCAAGAATGCCCAGTTGTTGGCAGGACACCACCAGTGCCCAGGACTGGCCGGGACAGGTGGGTCTTTGGGCACCCATTCAGGTCTGACTAGAGATTAAGGTGGAAGTGCCTGCCCTCATGGGGCAAAGGTCCAGTATGGAAGGTGCATAAGTAACCAGTGGATAAAATAATTCTGGTGGAAACCACCTGCTATAGAGACTGATTCTGGGCCCTAGCCAGTCTGGCTCAGTGGATAGAGCGTCGGCCTGAGGACTGAAGGGTCCTGGGTTTGATTCTGGTCAAGGGCACATACCTCAGTTGCAGGCTCCTCCCCAGGGCATGTGCAGGAGGCAACCAATCAATGTGTTACTCTCACATTTCTGTCTTTCCCTCTCTCTAAAAATCAGTAGAAAAAATATCCCCAGGTGAGGATTAAAAAACAAAAAAGATTGTGGGGTGGCCAGTAACAGGGTGGTGGTGGAATCCACCCCGAGGATTAAGGGTTCCTGAAGATCCAAGCACATGGGCAGCTCTGGAAGCAGTAACGGAGTGGCCAGCTGTCCCTCAGTCTCCTGTCTGTTTCCCCTTCCCCACGGTTCCTGTCCTGGGCAGTGTATGGAACTGTTCCATTCCCTGGAGGCCCCTCAGTGCAATTAGGCCTCTGGTTTTTCCTTCCCTATTTTGTCATCAGGTCCCCAGCAGCTCTCTATGTCCGAAGTACCTAGCCTGCTTGGTGATAGGCCTTTTACAAGTAGGGCCTCCTGCGGCTTACCTGGAGCCACCCTGAGGCTGGTTCAACATTACCAAGTTCATCCCTTATATCTGCCATACTTCACCTGGCTCTCAGTTACCTGCCTCCCGGGCAGGGGTGCCCCAGGACAGAGGCTGGTGTTACCCCGTCTCAAAATCACTGTCCACACTAAGGGCCAGTGCCCCAGCTCTGAGCATTGTGCTCGGTCCTTGTAGGTGCTCAGTAAAGGTTCATTTAAAGAATGCCACAGCCACCCACACCTCACCAGCGCCCAGCTCTGTGAAGCATCTCACATCTTCACCCTTGCCCCAGGGCTAATAACCACTACCCCCAGCATGATAGTGTGGACAACACTGGGAATTGAGGCTCAGAATCCTTAAGAATCTTGCTGGAAATCCTATAGTGGCAAACAAGTCACAGTGTAAACCCAAATCTGACTGATTTAAAACTAGAGGCCGTGACCTTGACCTCTACTTTCTTGCCTTCCAAAGCAATGATTCCTTCAACAGGGAGGGCAGGAGCCCCGAAGAGGAACAGATGAGGGTGTTGAGTAAAGGGCTTGTCCCCTGGTAGTGGCTCAGCGTGGGGGGCCCACACCGACTATAGCAATGGCCCAGGAGGTGGTAGGCACGGGTACCAGGATGGATGGCTGTGGACACATAGTGCCTGCCTACTCTGATGGAGGCCTGTGGCTTTGTGTCTTCCAATGAGCCAGTACAGACCTAGGCACCTGTGCTAAGGCCAATGCATGAGGTGAGTCCCCAGTGCAGCCCATCCTGAGTGGCTTTACCCCCTTCCTATAGTACAGAAGGGATATGAGTGTTCTGACTAGGTATACTTGATATATTCTTGGCAGACAAAAACAAATACACATCAAATTGCACCTTGTTATATAATTTCTAAAGTAGTTTTAATGTCACACAAGCAGCTTTTTAAGTCTAAAGTGAGAGAAAATAGAGGTAACTAAGAAAAATCCCCATTGGCCTCTGTTCCCCCCCAGCCTGTGGAGGGCCCAGCTGAGCCCTGACCAGGATTAGCAGCTATGAGAAGGGACCTAGTTCCTCAGGAAGAGTCAGGGGTCCATTCCTTCCCCTTAGAAACCTGGTTTTCCAGGGGAGTACAGGCATCTCGAGCCAGGCCACTGCACCGGTGAATCCCCTCAATTCCTGTTCATTTAACTCTGACCAGAGAAGGGGTGCTCCCCCAGTAGACCCAGAACCAGCTTGCCCAGTCACAGGAAGGGTTCAGTCAGCAGGTTCATCTCGCAGGATGGTGAGGAAGCGCTGGCCTCCCTCACAGAGAAGGCTGTGCACAGCCCGGCAAAGCGCCAGCTGGGGCGCTCCCAGTGGCTCCTGCATGCTCACCAAGGGGAGAAGTTCTGCCATCAGGACCTGGGGGAAGATTGCAGGTCAAGGATGCAGGGAGGCCTTATCCCAGACAGCAGCCCAGGGCCCCCACAGGAGGGCCCAGGGGATAGAGTAATTCCAGGGCAGGCTTTGAGGCACCATGATCCCGCCCCTCCCTCCAAACGCTCCATTCTCTCTCCTGCTGCCCCGGTGCTGGCAAATGCACAGGCGCAGAGGCTCTCATCAAGAGCACAGATAGGTTGTTGAGTCCTCACAAGGCTTCAGATCTGGAATCCTCCCCATGACTCAGGCTCCCGTGGCACCCAGACACCTACTCCCTAATCCTCACTCTGGAAGTACCTTTTCCAGGTGGATTTGCTGGTCCAGCATGTCCACCCGAAGCCTGAGGGCTGCCAGGGTCTGCAGCTCCTGGGTGCTGGAGTAGAGAAGCAGCTGGGGGCTCCAGGTGGGATCTGCTCCTCCTCCACAAGGCAATGAGGCCGTGGGGGGCCTCTCCTCAGGCCACCGCCCCAGCTGCTGTTCCACCACTTCTGTGAGGACGGGGGAATGTGGCCTCCTGGGGTGACAGCCAGGCACCTCTTTGCCACTCTCCTCTAAGGGGGAGCAAAGTTGCAAAGTCTCCATTTGCCTCCGAGAAGAAGCCCTATTGTTCATAATCATCTCTTACAAGGCTAGGCCAGTCATCTACCAGTACCTGTGATTCTCACATACTACCTTTTCAATGATTGGACAAATAAGTAAACTACTTAAAGTGGTAGGGCTCTGTGTGTTGGGAGAAGAAATGGGGGTGGGGTAGCTGTTCCGACTGGTCTCATAGGACAACTGGGGAGAACTCAGAATGCAATGGAGTGACTTGGGGAAAGGCCTGTCTGCCTCTACTCTTGGGTTGTCCTGTGGCTAGAGAACCTTGACCTCCCCTACCAGACTTCAGCACAGATGGCAGTGGGGTCTCACCTGCCTGCAGTTCCCGCAGCCTGTGGAGGCACTGCCCCACAATGGCCTGTAGCCCCTCCAAGGTGAGCAGGCCACGGTACTCCTGCATCCAGTCCGTGGGGTCTACGAAAGAGCCAGGGAGGGCAGGCTGGGTCCACGCTGGTCCTGCAGCACCCCCACCCCCAACCCCATACAAAACCTGTATCAGGGCCCACTGACCTCTTGTGAGCTCTTCCTCCATTCTCAGTCTGAGCAGCGAGCAAGCCTTCTGCAGGCGCCCTACCTCTGCCTCCACCTCTGCAGCACTGAGCCCGGAGCTAGGCCAGCCTGACTGGACACAGGTCAGGGAAACTCCCGTGTTCAGTGCCACCGCTCACCTCCCCTGAAGATGGGGCCTGGGAGTGGCTCTGGGCCTTCCTGGAGTTGCTCCTCAAATTCACCAAGCGTAGGGAGAGAAACTAAGATGGCGGCAGAGATAAACACCGGGAAATTAAGGCCGCTCACAACAATTGATTAATACCTCAGAGAAACAATACGGACTTCATCCAGAACCATAGGAAGCCTGGCTGACTGTAAACTCTACAACTAGAAGGAAGGAGAGGCACACTGAGAGCAAGAGAAGCTGCAGGAGAGAAGCGCAGAGGTACGGGGCTCGCGCGCGGAAAGGGGCTGGCACCCGAGGCGGTCTTTTTGAATCCGGAGGGAGTCACAAGCTCCCCACGGCTCTGAACTCCGGTTCCGGGAAGGCTCTGGGGACCCAGGACTCACGCGGGGAGAAACTGGACTGTCCGGCAGCAGGCGGCTTTCCCTCAGAGGTGCTTGCAGCCGTTACTGGGACACTGAGACGCGCGTCTCCTTAGGGCAGGGCTGAGACTCCGCCATAGCTGCTTGCTCCACCCGTTGATTCCCTGAGACCCCGCCCACCCAGGCTGCCCAGAGGCTTTTGCATATGAATGCCCCGGCCATTTGCAACCTGTAATTACCTAACTGCAGCCCAGTCAGACAGACCCAGAACTTCTAAGAGAAGGCCCCACAGCGCTTGCATCCTTCACAGCTGAGCTTTATCAAGGCACTTCCAAACTCCAAAAAAAGGGAAGAGGAATCTGCAGCGCTCTTCGTAGTTCCTGCTGGGTAACCTCAGGCAGAGGCTAAATTAGCACCTCCTTAGACTCAAGAGCCACTGTACCCAGTGGTCAGAGGGGGACCATTCAGATCACAACTTCTCAGATCTATAAGGGACACACTCAGAGTGCAGTCTCAGTGAGCATCAAAGCCCCACTGAAGCAAGTCGCGCCCCAGAAGGGTGTCTCCAGCACAGAAGTTCTCCCACAGCAGACACAGCTGATTCTCACAGCCAATTGGCCGGGAGGTCAATTCCTCCCAGTGATCCTATAACAACCAAGGCAGAGCTACAACAACTGTGCACAAAGCCCACAAGGGGGTGCATCAAGAGTGTCCACCTCAGGTAACTGGGGAGGCT